ATCGAATGGGCCAATCCAAGCTTGATACTCTAAAGGACATGGTTTCTTTCCGAAGAGCAGCTTTCTAACCGATGCGATGCTCCCTCGAGTTTGTTGAAGCTCTCTAATCGTTTATATGGCTTTACTCCTCATTGTTCTCCCAAAACAGCTAGCAGCTTCACGTTTGTTCCGCTGGATTGAATACATGAAATCACGGGTGCATTTGACCAAACTAGGCATTACTGTAGCCTTAAAATGGTCGCTTTTTCAGAAAGAACGACACATCATTGGAATGATGCAAAAAACGGAGATAAAGACATGGTCATGCCGTGAATGCTTCAAAGAGGGCAAAACGAATGTAGTTATCAAATTCTGATGGGTCCGCCGAGTCCGAGCGTCGGTGCGCATAGACTAATTCTTACTGTTTAACATGTTTGATCTAACTCATCAAATCGCAAAACGCAGCAAACTTGAATTGTTGTTAGATAGGATCATGGAGAACGCAGTGTTCGGTTCGGTCGAACTGGTGCTGCAATGGAACAGCTGGTATCTGTCCGATTGGCTATCTTTGACCAGTTTCCCATTGACTGCAAATTTGAATACATGGTCCGAATGTAATAAGAACATTAGTTATGAGTACCATTATATAGGTAGGAATTATCCCATTCTGATATAATTATCAGTTTTGCCTTTCCAACCATATAGTGACTGCTTTCCTGCAAACGAAAAATAACTTCCCTATCCTTTGATAATATAATCCCGATTACTGTTGTTCATACGTCTTTCATTAAAAATCACGTAGTGACAACGGTGATTCCCTTTGCATAGCCACACATGGGCACTGACGGAATGCACTTCAAAGTCAAGAACTTCAATGCCTTTGAATAATTCTCTCAGAAATGATTAAAAAAGTGGCTTCATCCATTTTCGCATCAAGGAAGACTGTGTTCATCATCAATTTAGGAGAACGAGATGAACGAGGTTTACAGTCTGATATTTCAGTGATACACGTTCTCCAAACTTGCGCTCTATTTGTACGGATAACGATTTAAGGTTTACTTGATGTTTTAGATATATGCTCTGTGGTATCTTTTCTGCAAGAAAAAGCTGTTTTGTCCCATTCAGTGTTCATGTGCCCATAGAAACACACTATTGTTCATTTTATTTTTTAATGAGGATCTCAAAGCCCCCGACTGAAGATCACGTGATTCTGTCTCAATCGGTACTCTTCTCACTTTGAGTATTAATCTCCCTCCCCCTCTATCTCTTTCCCACTCGTCGACCGGCGTTTGGTTCAAACGTGTAACAGAGTAAAACCGAATTGTTTTCTCATGAACCGTTCGACTTAATTCATTGTCATCCCACGAGACTCAAACTTGCTGCAGTTCAGACAATTGATTGAACAATACCAATGCCTCGAAATAAACTCACCACACATTTCTGCTGGGAAATCACCAAACAAAACCTCGTGGAATAGGTGATTTCTAGTTGGAAATACAGTTCGAACCAATCGGAGAAACGAAACTGTTTCGTAATGCTTTGAATACCCTCATAATCCGTGTGCAATTCGGCTGCTAACTCCTCAAGTTAGTCGTTAACGAGTTGGCCGGACCACCGTGTGTGGATATAATCTTAAATAATAAACATGATATCACTGAAGAACGGGGTCTGATTGAATCGGTGACCACGGTGAATTTCAAGTGACTGAGCGATGCATAATTGGATCGTGCACTTAGTGTCATACAGGTCGAAGCAATCTGCATGTCATCGTGACTGTCGCCAAACTGATGAACTTTGAGAGGGGAATTATCGGTCTGGTCTCAACTCCATGAGCGTTTATGTTTGTTATGTTGCTCTTTTCATAAATGGTTCGACAATTTGATCACGTAATACTTATCGTGTCACAGCCTCTAGCTAGAAAATGCAACACAAATTTACCAGAAATATGTATAGCAAATGAACGTGAACAGTAGAGTTAGGAAGCATTGTTTCGATGTGGTTGACTCTCAGCAGTGTGAATCCATCGACCCCAGGGGTTAGTGCTGAGATGAGCGCGGCGCAAGGCTCGCAACAAGTTCACAAATATGGGTTGGGCTATATCGTGTAAATGGAAGATGAAAAACGGTTTGATCAGCTGCCCGGTGGCCAAGTCGGTAGTATGCTTGCGTTCTCCCTGTGAGGTCCCTGATCAATCCCCCCAATTGGGTCGATGGATTCGTGCACTGCACGGATGAGACCCAACCAGGTCGAAACAGCTGTCCAATGCTTCCTGGTTTTTCAGTTCAAGCTTAATTTGACATACACAAGACGAATTACTCCTTTGAAATGGAATCAACTTCTCTATTACTCACATGAAATATGTGTAGCTCGCAAATTTCTACATGCTACATTCACTTTTCTTGCATGGGTCTGTAGATCCTTATTTTTCATATACGCCAAGAAGGCGTAATCGAAGTGTGGTCTACCTCAATATTCCTGATTTTTACTGAAACTGGGTCACGTAATGCTATTAAGAGAACCTTGGTTTTGGTCAACATCCAAGCTGAGATCCATAATGGTGGCAGTGATAGCTAAGTGGTTAGGTTGCCAAGTTTAACCCGGAAGTCTCGCGTTCGCACCACTCCACCACAGACCACATTTCCTATTTAAGCGTCTTCCCAGGCAACCTTTGCATGGCCACAACCCCCCTTCCTGAAAATTGACTATAAATTTGTATATTCAATAGATAAAAACGAAATGAAAAATACATGTACATTTTTTACATTTAACCAAACCATCTTTTGTGTTCACTGGTTACTCATGTTTTGTGCTGAAGATTATGACTGGCGACTTCTTGCTCTCTTTCTCTCTCTTTCGTGATCCGCATGGGTTAAACATTGAGAGTGAACGATGCAGTGTACCCATAGGCGTTCCATCAGTTAATAAAGTTGCTGCCATATTTAGCAAGGTGACTGCTTCCAGCCGAATAACAAAACGTTAACTCAAACTTAGGGCCTAGAAGTGATTGTGAGATGTATACAACAGTGATTTTGGAACTCTGTAAATCCCGTATGCAAGATAGAAAAGACCATTGGCTAATAAAGCTAGGGACCTAGTAAGTGGAATACCAAATTTGATGGAACCAGCTGGGGGAATGGAAGAACTGAACATGAATAAAATGTCTAATTTGGACGATCCATTCAGACTGAAATTCCACTGCTAGGAATCTGTTAAAGACTATAATCTTTGGAAACACTCATAAACTAACGATTCTCGTATTGTTTACAATCTTCGCTGAGGGAAATAGTCGACTAACAAGCCCGGAAAATAGTTACACAGCATACACACGATTTGTAGTTTTCATTGATTATTCTTCCATATTCAGATGACATGTACAATTACACTGTCATTCACATCACTCAGCTGCATGAGGATGCATGTGCCGTGAAATCCAGATACTTGATTGGCCAACCAAAAAGGCTAGACTCAGTAGGAACTCTTGGAGCATGCCTAACCAATGTGTATGTGCGACAAAAAATTGAACATTGCTCACTGTTACGGTGCCGAACAAATTGAAGACCCCAAACCGCCGAAGAACGATTGCTGAAATGTAAGCATTAAAGAAAATATTGATTATGAAAAAAATCTACGTTGCACTGGTTGCTAAATAGATCTTTCCTGCACGAGAGCTGTATCGATTTTCAACTCAGAAGGGTTTGAAAGGGTTTAAAGACCAAAATGTCGCTTATAGTATGACAAACACACGGAGGTCTGCAATAAAAATTCAGATGACTTGAATAGCACTTTCACACACCTTTTTAGACACCGAATGTTATAAGAATGCTATCATTTATAGGTTCCACTACATCTTATTATTTATTATTCTTATTATTATGCAAAATTTACCATATATGTATTGGAAAAAGAGGCAGGGTCAGTGCACGTAAGTCAGTCAGTAATTGCGTGAAAAGCCGACAGTGCAGAGTCTTGAATACATCATTCATGAAATGTTAACCTCACAGGTTACCGGTTATCTAAGTTCAAGGATCAGTGTGGTCGATCGTGGTGAGATACGATGAATGTATTTAACCTGAAATCGCCAAAATATTGATAATGAAGTTCTGTTTCTAATCGTTTTACAATTACCAAACTAAGAAAATCACCACCTCCGCTGAAAAGCAATCAACAATTAGGAAGGCCAAACAGCAGTTGAATATATTGAGAAAATTATCGATGAATGAACAATTTTTCGTTCAATCTCCATAATTCTGATTTATTGGAACTGACTATCATTCAGACTTCATCTTCAAGCACATTCATCAACTCTCCCAGTCAATCGTACACTCGGAACGCTGCAGATTCAAGTTTAGCCCCTATTATCATGACTCGATTGATAATCTGCGATAAACAAAAATGTGAGATTTTTACGTTTTACATAATTACAAAACTTGTTTTTCATCGTGATTAAGGTCCTTTTTGTGTTGCACATCAATAACCTAATATTTTATACAAAAAATCGAATCATTTGGTATGGTCATACGTTAGACAAATAAACTGGTGCGGTTTGGTTTTGAAATATCTCCCTTTTTAGTCCACACTCACTATGATTGGTTCACAATTGACTGTCAGGGGGTGGGGGCGAACGGGGGTAGGAAATACAAAGGAACAAGGAATTAACCAATCGGATTCCACCGAAGCTCGTTTTCCCACGTTCATTTCTGCCGCTTGACCGTGACACGGGTATGCTGCAATCATCAGTTCGGCTTTTGTCTTGGTGCACCAGAACCCATTTATCTCTGTTCGACCGCCACCTATCTGGTCCGTAGTTAGGCACCGTGCGGGACATGTGCTTTTCTTCAATCTTTGGGTTCTTGTCTCACCGAAACCGGACTGGACTTCTCCACAATCTCTCATAATTCATATTCCTGTGCAGAATTTTGACACCATTGTAAGGATATCAACTCACCTTCGAATTACGTGAACCTCCTTCAACTCTCGTTTTCGTCAACGCCCGTATTGTGGAGAAGACGTGTTCAGGACAAATGACCACGATTCCCAGACGTGTGGGGCGAGGACGGAAAGCGGTCCGTACCTCGACCGCCCCGATGCTCCTCAGTCCATCGGATCGACAAAAATTTCTTTCTAACACACCAAGAGCAACAGAAGCTCAGCTGAGCCCGTATGCCAGTGTGTATCCATCAAAACAAAACGCATATGAATCCCTCCTGTACGGAACGGATCAGAGTGTTTCCCTTTACGAATTGAATCACAGTCAGGCAGCTGGTTCCCAGTCCCCCAGTCAGTGCTGTCCATCTCCACAACCATGGGCCAGAACCGAGGTGCAATCGAAATACTCCCTACGACAACAGCTGAAAGAGGTGATGGAATCCCGCACTCCGGCCGATTCCAGTAAACCCACGACACAACATCATCGTCGTGAATTGACACGATGTTGGAGTCGTGAACGTGTGATTCGCAGTGAGGTGATCTTGTCCATTCGTCGACCGACCGGTCAAAGTTGTGACGATTTACAGTCCGTCGGTCTCGTTCCACCGGGCACCACCCGGTCCGGATCGATGCAATCCATTATGACCCGATCAACCAGTGGTTTACCATCTAGTTCTCACCTCATTCCGACTGGTCAGGCAACTTCCTCACCTTGGGACGGATCCAATCATAGTTTATTTGGTGCATCAACCTCACCTGTGTCCCCACTATGTGCCGGAAGGACAATAACTATTCGAACTGTCAAACATGGTGACGGAGAGACAATTATGGATCATTTGGAGAAAGATAGTTTTGTGCCACAAGAAAATCTGGATACCAGAACAGCACTGGCGCCTCAACTCAGTCCCCGGTAAGAAATTCTATCTAGTATTGGTTAGTGGGTGCTGGGTGGTGGTACTGGGTTGAAGTGGGTGGCAATAGTATAGTTTGTATATTTTTTTCAAACTTCATGAACTGTATAGAACCTTTTATGGTTGATTAGTATAAATGTTTTATATCAGCCTTGGTGTTTCACGGAGACTAGTTTCCTACTGGTGCATTCAGACCGTGATGACGTTTTTGGAGTTTATTTTGCGCTCATCCACAATACTGCGGATTACAGAATGTAGTATCTTAACACAGACGTGACATAATCGTCCGATAATGCACAGAAAGAGGGACGATTAAGTTCTGTAAAAATGTGTCTGTGACTTGATTCACTCACAATCCTAAATGAGCGGCATTTACTGGTATACCCATTCGCCCTTCAGTCTCTTATTAGATCGAGGTTTGGTTGGTTGGTTGGGTGGGTGGGTGGTGGCGGTGGTGGCGGCAATCCTGTATGTTTGGTCAGTTACAACGATGTAATTAAGACCCTGAGGTGTTAAATGGTACGCTTGCAACCGCCAGTGGAACTTGTTGTCGAGTTCAATACAATGAATAGCTTATTGCGGGGTCCCAGTAGCTTGGATACTGCTTTTCACTGCCCATATGAGACTCTAGTGACAATGCCGCTCACCGCTTCAGACTTTCAACAAACCGAGCTGTGTTACGTAACCAGATTGAAAACCTCAGCTTGAATAGATTGCCCTTACCTCGGTCAAATAGCATTTCCTAATGACTCTGACAGTGATCGTTTTGTGCCCTCACGTAATCACCGTGAAATCAGAGAGAGGCAGTTAGATTTTCGATCAGGTCGGTGGAAATAACAACTTCCGCTTGTACGATTTTGATAACCTGCAACTATCCACTTCTTCCCTAATGAACTTTTCATGATTGTTATTTTGAATTGTGGGTCTGATATCATGAGTGTTAATATCCTCGAGATCGATCGTTTGTACTTAACCAGTTAAGAACAGAGGAGCCAAATAAGCTGCCCTTGCTGAATAAGTAAACACACATTTACCCGAAAGATTTCGGTCAAAGTCAAGGTCAAAGTTTTAAGGAAGCTAAAGCTTATCATGCCCCATAGGATTTTTACAGAATATTTTGAATAACTTCACAAAGAGAAAATAACAATGATAATAATGTGTGTGATCACTCACGGATGTTGAATTTTTTAGTGTTTCAATGCTTTATCAAGTTGCGATTTAAATTGTTCAACTGTAGGAGCACACACTACATCAGATGGAAGAGAATTCCATGCGCCGCACACTCTGACTGCAGACGAGTGATGCCGGCAATCAAGGTGGCTGTTCTGGGTCTTCACCTTTAGTGGACGTCCCCTGAGGTGATCATTATGAGATAAAGTCAGCAGAGAATGGCATGAGTGTTTGGGTTGATGCAGTATATGATATACCAATATTAGGTCCCCTCGAAGTCGGCGGTATTGGGATGAGTACTGTCCCAATATTTGCCGTCTTTCGGAGTGTATTGTTATATAGACCTTTTACCAATTTCGTTGCCAGCCTCTNCCTCTGTGGACCTTCTAGAGCCTTACATTGCGAAGATGAATTGGATATAATGGTTCCTGGAATATGCTGAGGGCAAGACATGTCTTTAGAGATTTATTCAAAGAGAATTGTATCGCATCGTATTGGACATACACGCCCAGTCTAGTGTGAGATTAGTGAGGAGACCATAATGGTAAATATATAAATGAAATATTCCGAATTGTACATTCAATCGGATTAACGCTCGTCCTAATATTCCTCCAACTATGTTTATAGATTCTCAATAGAATCTGAAAAATAACCAACTGTTTGATTCGCTTTTACGCTTTCACGTCACATTCCTCGTGAATTTACGATGCTGCATTTTACTTTCTCTCTGCCACTGTATGCGATGATAAATGATTATGGTGTGCAAGGAGTTGAAAATGCATTCATTAGGATGAATAAAGCGATTTTTGACTTGACTTGACTCGTTCAGGCCGTTCTGTTAACTTCACAAACACTTAAGAATGATCTATTATTGTTGCTATCGTTGTTAGTTCTCTGCCGTCTCCACAAAGAAAACTGAAGTAATTCCCGATAAAATTGCAGTTCGTTTTAAAAACTTGGAAAAAAGTAAAGTAGATTCGAACTAAGAAAAAGGAACATGGAACAACATTGCTTTAAAATGACTGAGCAAATATTCATGCCCCAGCCCCGGGTAAGGAGGATGCATTTTTAAGTAAAAGATTTACGGCATTTCTCGATAACTGAAATTACCCAATAAATATGCTCTTCAGTTTCACAAATCGCCCTAAATAATTTAGAAATAAAACATATTTCTTAGACTAGACTGTGGACTCATTCTGAACACCTCTAAGTGTGACTTACACTGACCCAGGTTTCATTCATAATGCTGGAGGATGGCTAATATTGGAGGGAACGAGAGAGAGAGCGAAGGAGAGAGTCTCATGTGCAAAAACCCTGAAGACAATTCACATTTGAAAATTGTAAACATGTCACAAATTCCAGTATTTCATCTGGTAGTTCCAATTCATCTCGTGAGGCAAAATGAAAATTTTTGGTTACAGTGCACCCAGGTGAATAAATTGCAGTAGAGAACGATGGGGAAAATGTAGTGCGCGTCCATTTTTCATCTCATTTGTCTTGACCGCAAGCCACAGTAAGATATTCTTGCCACAAATCAATATATTTCTTCTGATCCTTGTATGCTCTGAAATATCCCAGGAATGTTCCAGGAAATCAGTCGGCCTATTTTTGAATTATTGCGTGCACTGCACAATCGAACGAATACACAAACATACACACATATACAGTACTTCTGTCCCTATCGGACTGTATTTTAATTCAGTCAGGTGTAACATCGTTATTTAACAGTAAAAACGAAACAATGCACATAGGTTTTAATAATCTGGCCTTAAATTAGGGATTACCAATACCTGAAAGTTTGGGAAGGGAAAGTGAATGATGAAGAATCACACTATGTGTATTTTGGTCGATTATGCTGGCATTTACACAGAGGAACATTTTTCTTATTGACTAAACTGACAGCTCCCCCCCCCCCTCGAATGATCACATGACTTGAACTGCACAAATAGGATATTCGAATTCGAACTTCTCCTGCGTTTAGTGACATCCAAGCATCCAAAGCGAAGGAAGATGTTGGAACATTACCGAATGGTTGGATCGATTTTTTTCTACGAAATGCAGATCACAGTTCGAACAACATAAAAAATACGTAAATTTCATTATGAAAAACTGAAAACGAGACAGTCTAAATCTGCCACAAAAATAAAAGATAAATCGTGTGGGTGGTGGTCTGTCTAATTACAAAATTTAAAAAAAGCATCCATACAGATGGTACTGCCGTGCAAGAAACATTAGGCGTAGGTTGTAGTTGTGGCTGATAATTCTAAATGCGATTTCATTGTGTGACGTGGAGTGGGCGATAAATGGCTTGCCACCGGAGCACATTGAGCAAAGCAGGAGTGAATTGCTGCGCACATTAAACCGAGAGTTTTGACATCACTTTAAATGAGTTGCTTCGTTTTAAGTCCATAAACTGGTTAATAACCTGAGTTGTTTTGTAGTCAACATGTTTTGTTACTTATCCTCAATTCGCTGTGTGTGTTNCCAGAGTGCGGAAAATCGTTTCCATTTGGATTTCCCAAAACAACTTCAAACCCGTGGGAAATTGTGAGCAAAAATGGAAACATTTTGTCATATGCATAATATGGGTCAAATTCAATTGATTCTGAAAGCCAATTTTAAACACTGATATGCCTGATTAAACAAAAAGATACTTTCTAAAGCTAGATGAAGTGAAAATTGATTTGTTTTCTCAGTCAGTTTTGGTTTATTCACGGTGTAAATTATACACGGGATGGAGCATAGACCACATTTCGTTAAACGTCCTAGAAAACTTCGCGCCCTGCTTTGTTCTGTCTCCCGTCCCTACCTCCCCCCCCCCCNTCGCCATCGCCCAACATCCACTTATATTCATGCAACCGTTCAGCGGATTCACATTTACCGCTCTCACATATTCGCGCATTCGTCCCGGCCACCATGACATCCCCATACGGTGTCTGACTATATTAATCAAACATGCCGGAATGTGTCAGCGTAAACACGGGTGCATTGTCTGTGCTCAAAACGCGTGTTTATATTTCATGCGTGTGTGTTGTGTTGCAAACTAAAAACATATTTACAGAATTTTCCAAACAGTTTTTCCGCGGCATAAGTGATATGAATGGAAATAAACAGGTTGAGCGGTTACCAACTGAATGAGTTCTTTTTGTCGAGCAAATAAAAGTTGCACGACTTTGAAAATACTTTTGGACAGAATGAATCGGGAAAAAAATCCTGATGTAGATTTGATGAGAAAGCGAGCTTGAGAAGCGAGTTTTTGACAATCGCACGGAATGATAGGCAACAACTGTAATTAGGGCTTGCTGATCTTAAGGTCTGATCAGGTCATTTATGGGAGTTAGCAAATCCTATTTGAAAATCATTCCGGTTTTGAAAGCAATCTAGACTTTCAGTTAATACGATCAAAGTGTCTTGGTTTGGTTGAGTCTGGTTAGTCGTCGGGGAATTGGCAAATGCGTCCTAAGGACAAAGCTAATTAACTGAATACTGCAACTTGCACACGCCGCTCCACGTTTTTGTGGGTGAGCTTTTATTCGTTTTGTTTTAATTACACATGCGCACTGCATTTTCCGGTCTACGAACAGATATTTCGTCCGTTTGTGTGTTCATCAGTTTCGTCCCCTGCCAGGTCTCCAACCACCAACGTTTCGGTTGGGAACAGAAATCGAGATATTACAGCTATCTGGTCGTATACCGTCTCTCCCTTGGGTGCCTGGTGCTTAACAATAGACAAGCAGTTATATCGTATCATTCTCGCAACTTTAAAAAAAGCAGAGCTTGCACATAGTTTTCCGTGCTCTCAGACCGATGACCATAAGCTGGANTCCGAATAA